CTAAGCACTTCTTCTGAGTGAAATCACTTAATATTTCCCAGGCTTTTCTCAACATCATGCTTAATTAGCCTTTTGCTAATAAACAAGAAGAGCTCAGTTTAGCCCCATTGCTGGAGTCCATTGAGAAAGCAGTTGTTTAGTCAAGTCTTATCTGCATGTGTATTTATTTTTATTTGATACATGCAGTGTTTTCACTTTTATATAAATATTTTATAAATATTTTAGAAACTGAAGATATGAAACAGTTTGAATTACTTCATAATGTAAATGAAAATTTTTTCTTTAAAGGAAATGTTTTGTTTGGGTAGCTTGTTATATTTGAAACTGAAATATTTCACAGACAAATACGTATCTTTACTATCTATCTATCTCGTGCATTTTACGCTTGAATGGTCTTCTATGCTAAAGTATTAATTACAACTTTGTTCTTATTGAGAAGACAGGGTTAAGAATTTAAATTGTAAATTAGTCATAAAACTGCAACATTTTTCTCCTTTGTGATGCCATTAAGGACAGAAACTTACAGAATCACAGAATCATAGAATGGTTTGGGTTGGAAAGGACCTTAAGATCATCTAGTTCCAACCCCCCTGCCATGAGCAGGGACACCACACACTAAACTATGTCGCCCAAGGCTCTGTTCAGCCTGGCCTTGAACACCACCAGGGTTGGACCATTCACAACTTCCCTGGGCAACCTATTCCAGTGCCTCACCACCCTCACTGTGAAGAACTTCTTCCTTACATCTAATCTAAACTTCCCCTGTTTAAGTTTAAAGCCATCACCCCTTGTCCTACCACTACAGTCCCTAATGAAGAGTCCCTCCCCAGCATCCTTGTAGGCCCCTTTCAGATATTGGAAGGCTGCTATGAGGTCTCCACGCAGCCTTCCCTTCTCCAGGCTGAACAGCCCCAACTTTCTCAGCCTGTCTTCATACGGGAGGTGCTCCAGTCCTCTTATCATCCTTGTGGCCCTCCTCTGGACTTGCGTTAATGGTTCATTTTAAAAATGAATGTTTAAATATTTATTTATGTGCAAGCTTGTAGAGAAACCTAATGGTTTAAAATCACTCAGCTTCTCTGGAACATCAGTGATATTTTTATCTGCGCTGCCTGTATGAAAAGGAATTATTACATTGGCAGTTACTATTTCTGGTTTTATAAGTAACACATATTAATGAAAAATATAAGTCACATCACTCACCAGACAGACAAATTTAAGAAGTGTGATTAACGGAAACTTTTAATGGCAGTTCTATTGTAGAAGGTTAGAAGTTCTCTCACTCTGAAGACTGGTGTGGTCTAGCTTTACTTATACATGTGACATACACATGCTTTTTCACTCATACAAGTGGTCTAGTTCTAATTATATACTGGGAAGAAAATACTCATAATTTCAACAATTGACTTCTCAGTCTGTCTTGCATTAGGCAAACATTTTGGCAAGCCATATTGTCTCATTTTTTTTCCTGTCTCTAAAATGAGAATAATTCTTATTTAGCAAAACTAACACTAAAACTTGGTTTTTAATTGACGGTGTTATCAAATTAAAGCATTAGCCCCTAATCTGATCATTCTGTCTCCATCCATGCATCATAGCTGTCAGTGCAGAAGAAGAAAGAAGTTGGTCACTCCTTGTTTTTAATCCTGTGGCTACTCTCTTTGGTTATGTCTATGTTAATGTATCCGATAGGTACAGGGACCGTTCTCCGGTCCTAAGGCCAAGTAGCACAACAAAGTCTGCACCCTGTGCCCAAATTCTGATCTCACCTTTTTTATCTGAACTATACTTGGGCAATTTTCTCAGAGGTCTAGACCATGCTAAGGGGACATGCTGACCATTAAACCAGTAACTGTTTGACAGTGTTTGACACATCCATAGCACTCCATACATGTAGTTACTACTCAACACACATAGTCATTAGTGAGGATATAACTAGAAAAGGAAGAAAATAATACCCACAGAAATATTCCTACTGCATGACTTTTTCCTCCCAAACCTCTTCCTAAGGTAATCTCATAGAAGAGGGTAGCAAGACAGACCCACTGGTATTGCAGATGCTGTTATGACACTACTTTGTCTTTTTGATGCTGACAATTTTATTTTCAGCTTCTATTAGGACCTCAAATGTAGACAATCAAATTCTGATACACCTGAAGTGGGTTATTGCATTACTTCATGAGTAAAATGCTCTCCATGGGACCAGCTGTGGAACCAGTTGTGTTCAATAGTATACATATGGTATTTGATCTTCATAAAGATAATACAAATTATGTATTTTGTAGGAAATATAACAGAAGAAAACTAGGAGAAATATTGCACTGAATTAATGCTCCAATTAGCTTAACTGCCACCTGAATTTAATTAACTATTATATTGTTTGGAGATGTTCCGTAAATGATTTGCAAATGTATGTGTGCAGAGGAGTGGCACTAATCTGTGTTAATAAGGCATAAAGATTTATTAGAGCATCTCACAAGATCTATAGTAACCCTAAATGAGATTACATAAGAGAGGAAGTCTTAGAGACATGCCTATCTTTTTAATGAACTTGTTAACCCTGATGCCAGGGGTTTTCTCCTTCCTGGTTTCTTGCTTCAGTCCACACTGTGAATATAATAGAGCACCTTGCTCCCTGTGAAGTAGCAGGGGAAATGTAAGATTATTCACAGAAGTGAGGCATTTCAAGAGATGTATGAATATCACAGTGTGAACTGGAGCAAGAAACCAGAAAGTGAAAAAAAAAACCCTGGCATCAGCAGTAATAACTTCATTGAAAAGACAGGGATTTGTGTGCCCTCTGAAGTGTGTGAGCGTTTGACACTGACTCCTGCGGTATGTCTCAGAGGGTATGTATCACTATGTGTAGATAAACTGCAATTTAATTGGAAATGATACATTTCATAGCTCAATTGTTAACTTTGCATCCTTTTTTCCAAAATACAAGATTTCATTGCAGAGATAATGTGAATACCTTTGTCACACTGAAGAGGGAAAGAATCAATTCAACTCTGGATTGCCAATATCAAGTTGAGAACACAATATGGAAATCCCCATTAAACAGCAGGCAAGTAATGGTGCTCAAATTGTGATAGAGACTAATGTATCCTGCAAATGAAAATGCCATCTCCAATCTGTAACATAATGATATGCACAGATTTCGCCCTGCCCCCATTCCCACTCTTTTTGCTCAAGTCTAAAATGCATACTGTAATGCATTATTAAGCTAAATTCTGACCCAGATTCTTAATTATCTGTAAGCTACAGAGAACTTGTAGCAGAATATTAACTAAGTCAAGAGATGTAAGACAGAGAATCCACGATGGCGTTAGAAAGAATCATTAGCATTTTACTAAGAAAATCCTTCACATTTTGTATTTAACCTAGCTTAACATGTAGAATTTATATTTTAAAGTGTTATTAAGTATATACTGACCAAGCCACCAAAACAACCCAGGCAGAAAAAGAAAGGAAAATGGAAGTATTTGGGGAATCATTCCTGGATTCACAGAATCAAAAACTTGCACCATAGTGACACATTTCTGGGACAGCAGGATTTTTCCCAACTGTTCCTAGTGGATACCATCAACAGCTATTGCAACCTCATGTAACATTATGTGCTGAACTATTTATTTTAGATGAACTGTAGAATCTAATCTGCTATGGTTTATACATATGTACCAAAGTTTTTTGTGGTACAATCAGGATAAACAGCTGTCATACTAAATGGCAGTTTGAAAGAATCCTCCAAACACTTTTGTGCCTGGTTATTATCAAGTTAGCAGTTACAGTTTTATACCTCTCTGCACTGCTGCATATTAGTGGAATATGAGAAGTTTTCATGGTGAAAAATCAGCCATTCATAAACTATATCAGAAACAAGAAACACATGGACTTCCACCTACAAAGCTGCAGGCATATCTGATTTTGAAGACATGCTGTATGTCTGATGTAAAAGTGTTTGAGTGAGTGGAAAACATACTGCAAGAGCAATGTATTTAGCGAGAACAATTTTTAATATAAAACATATTTCAAAATTATTTGAGGAAAACATACTTTC